GACTAAATGTGGTGTTACCTAATTGTTGCTGTTGTAAAACCATAAAGGGATGATATTTCATTTACAGACACAGACTTCCGCGAACACAAATACTTTCTCCACGGAAACTAAAGTAAACTACTGTTTTACTAGGCTCGGTGTACTACTGTTGAAACTGCTATCACTTACTAATATTATATTAGAGGATTTGGCTAATGTTACTGCCTTCTTAGTATACATTTCTTGTGTGTAGAAGATAAAAACGCCTGCTAAATGAATCCATGTAAGGGAAAGTAACTTGTGGGACGCCATTTTGTGAACTGAAGCGCTTCTGTTGTTGCTCGGCAACAAGCGTCATACGTTTGTGTAAAGTCTCTAGGAGGGTGTAACGTTAACTGAAAAGTTTGACACTTCAGTAACTGTAAAGTCTTTTCAGTGAATCGAATGATTTCTGTTATTTATAATTCCTTACCTATTTAGATTTTTTAAAAGCAGCACACTTGAATGGGTCTGCACATTTCTAGATCATTAACATGACTGAAGTGAAATGTTTAAGGGGAGAATCTGGTGATTCAGTGCTCGAATGGTCTTGTAAAGGAGAGGATGAGGAGTTCAGCATTTGTGGACGCTGTCAGTCGTGTGTCCTCTCTGAGAAACTGCACCACTCCACCCAATGGATGAAAAAGGCTGGAGGAGCATCCCAGAGGAGGTTTCTCACTGGCATCCTGGTGCGGTGCCACAATCTTCAAATCCTGGAGAATCTTCAGAGTGTTTTACAAGTCACATCAGGCAAGGATTTCACATATGCCAGGTCCAGAGGCCAGCTCAGCCGACCCGAGGACTCTATATGTACAATGTATGGAGCACTGGACACAAAACTGAAAGGAATGGACATGTTGGAAACTTGGGAATGGTTTAGGAAGAGCCCAGACTGGATCAAGTCCAAGTATGTGCTGGGGCTCTTGTCTTTATGTGACACCTCTCTTTTGCACATGTTAGGAAATCTGGTGCATATCCTGATTGTTTGGGAGAAACACACATTTCTAAAATTCAGCAGTCCTGGTAAGAATGCACATAACACTGCCAACTGTACAATGATTATGAAAAAATAATAAAAGCATTACATATTAGCAAATTAAAACTCACAAAAAGGATTTTAGTAAATGGCATGAGCCTATATGATTTCTAGTAAATTATAAGTGGCAAAATCAAAAGGCAGGTCTTGAAATATACAACATGTTGTAAATATAGTACTCCTATGAGTTCAGCATTTTCCACCAAAGTATATCCATGTATATCAATGCTTGTATTGCAATTTGATTCCTAGGAAACACACCTACTGTTAATATCCATATCTTCAATGCACAATGTGTTGCTTAGGATAAATGTAAAACACACCAATTTGAAATATACAACATGTTGTATATATAGTACTCATATGAGTTCAGCATTTTTCACCAAAGTATATCCATGTATATCAATGCTTGTAGTTGAAGTGCCACAATACTGTAGTTCTTCTGTAAGCTTTTTTTTTTTTAACAGCTACATTGAAGGTTTTTAAACATGGTTGTTTTATTAAAATATAGTATCTTGCCTGATTATAGATTTTTATGCAGATCTCTCTGTTACAGAGTCACGAGTCTCCTACCATTCAGAATCTGACCACACAGATCTAGATCTTCTCGTCCAAGCATGTTCTGTTTATGAGCCAGCTGACCTGCCTCAAGCTCACCAGGGCAGTCAAACAGATGTCTTAAAACAGGAGCTTTCAGAACAGTGTAAGTAGTTAGCTTTTTGCATTAGTGATCGGATATTCCATATTAAAGTAAATATATTTATAAGTTGTGGGCCTACTATTCACTTATTATACAGTGAATGACTCCAAATCTCTCAAGAGTATCTGTGATGTGGTTGAGCTGGACCTTCAGAATGTAGACCCCTGGAACAGAAGAACAAAAGGCCAAGATTCAGACTCGGACTGTTCGTATGATCCAGATCCTGCCCTCACTGTCGTCCCCAGGTCGTCAAAATCTCTGTCAGGGGTCAGCCGTCATAGAGATTTTATTCGAAGCCTGCCAGTCGACATTGCAAAGAGGATTTTAGGTTAGTCTAGTTTTTACACACATGAAGCTTATAAGAGATTGACTGTTCAAACTTACGGTCAGAATTAAGTATAAACAGATTTTATTTTAATTCTCTATAATGTCTGTCACTTTTCATATTCTCAGATGTTATAAATGTAGATGCTTTATTTGAAATTGATTGGTATATGAATGCATGCTTAGTGCATGTCCTTTTGTTTTCGTCACCTTTGTCTTTTCAGACCTATGAAATAGTTCAGACTTGTGCTGCTATAGAAACAATTGTATTGCCTGTGGACAAGAAGGTTAGGTTGACTCTAAAGCTACTCTTTACCTTGACGAGAGTGTAAAAGACTTAGCAACTGAACTTAAACCACACTAATGGCAAATCATTTTTCAAGAGCTCTAATTCTAAGAGAACTAATTTTTCTGAAATTACTATTATCAGAAATTCTTACATCTGAGCTTTAGTTGCCATAATGTATATTTTAACATATAATATAAAATTATCTTTATGCATTTATATTAAATGATCTTTATGCAATTATGCATTTTTCATCCTAAAGGTAGCCTAGCAGCATCCAGACGTATGGACACATAGCAGTTATTTAGACATAATATTAATCTTTTTCCCCTCTTTTACATATTTTCATATTTTTTTGTTAATGACACTTAGGGCTTTTGGATAAGGTCTCACTGTACAGCTGCAGGCGTGTGTCCATGCACTGGCAATGGCTAACGGAGGAGGTCTTAACCGAGTTGGAAGTAAAGAAGAGTGTTGAGAAACAGGCCATGACTCTGCAGGTAATACATAACAGAATAAACAATATCTATGTGATTTTTGACATCTCATGGATATCAAATATATCAGTGTAACCTGCAGATCAGCTGGTAGAACGTGGTGTTAGCAATAGCAAGTTCATGGATTTGATTCCTAGGAAACACACCTACTGTTAATATCCATATCTTCAATGCACAATGTGTTGCTTAGGATCAATTTAAAACACACCAATTTTGTGAGGGTGATCATTTATATTTGGTCTGTCTTTCTTTTTTCTGCCACAGGAAAGTAGTTCAAATGACTCATGTATCTTTGTTCTTAATGTTACAATTCAACCCTGATAATTTGTATGCATTTTCAGGGTAACTCAGCGTCTAAGGTCAACCCTGTTTATGCAAAGATCTGTGAAGTTGTAGTGCCAATCAGTGAGGAGGACAAGCATGTCCCCAAACATAAGCTGGTACAAAACGCCACCTTTTGCACTCTGAATAGAAACTGAAACACACTTTTTAATATCTTCAGTTTAGACATAGTATAGTTTTAACAATTCCTGTGTTTTTAGTTACAAGAGCAGGATTTGGATTCTATCTACAAAGGCTTTAAAACCAAGACAGTCCAATTGGAAGAACGCAACGTGTACTGTGGCGTGTATAACATATCAGTCCTGTTGGAAAGGTAGAAAACATGTAAGAATATACTGTAAGATACATGTGTTAAATATATAGATGCATCATAGTTTTAATACTTCCTGTCACTTTTTTTTGCTCCATTTAGAGAAGATCCCAGTAGAGTGATGCATTATGCTGGGGGGCAGTTAGTGGCGGTTGGCTCCAAGGACCGTATAATCAGGTTGCTGCATGTCCCATCACTAAAAGAGATTCCTCCAGTGATCCAAGGACATGCAGGTAGTATAAGAGCAGTGCTGGTTTGTGAAGAGAGAGACCTAGTTATCAGCGCCAGCTATGACCTCAGTATCAGGTTAGTCAAACATTACTGTGGTTGTTTAACGAAGTAAGATCAGAGTCAACAGTGCTTCATTTCTGTACTCCGCTCAAAGGTGCTGGAATCTGAAGACGGGTGTATGTATGATCATTTTTCATGGACATTTTGGGACTATAAACTGCCTGGATTTGTATGAAGATAGACTGGTGTCTGGAGCCAAAGACTGTAGAGTTAAAGGTAGGCAGTTATGACCTGTATACAACTATAACAACACGATTCTGTATAATGTCATTATGCCATTAATGCCGAGTTCATACTGCATGATCTGCATAAAAATCTTTAATCAGGAAAGATACTATATTTTAATAAATCAACCATGTTTAAAAGCCTTCAATGTATCTGTAAAAAAAAAGTCAGGTGTGACTTTTTTTTTTACCCTTTAACATATCCGAATCATGTCCATGATTTTTTTGTGTGTTCATATTGCTAATGTGACAAAAGTCACCAAGTGTCATCTCGTTCCGATGAAGCTAAGATATTTAAAATGTCAAAATATAAAATTTTTCGTCAAAAATGACCGAAGAGGGCCAGAGGGTTTTAATGCATGCCATTACATCCCTGTACTCCTATTAGTAAATGTGTGTTGATGCACAATTGCCATTTTGGGATGATCAAATGTGCTGTCATTAGCATATTGTCTGCACTGGCATACTGTACACCAACAGACCAAAGCCTAACAGCTTGAAAGAATATATGTATATCTATTTGTGTATATTCATCACAGTGGCCTGAGTTTTTGTGCCTGGCTGTTCTGGTGGTCGGTGCTCTGTAGCTCTGACCAGAAGGCAACAGCTCGAAGAGAGTGGGCTGGCTGTGTGGTGTCAAAATTGATTTTCTTAGTATCGAAAAGGAAAAAATGTTGGATGGTGATTTGTTTCAATCCACCGGTTTTTCGTTGGATGGATGCAGATCTAAATGTAAGCTCACAGTCTACTGTAAGAAAAGTAAATCTTTGGATAATTCCAGTATACGTCACTAGAGAGAAGTCATTTCATCAGAAGATCAGAAAGTTATGATATTTTTATTAAACATTATGAGGTAAAAATTGCAAAAAGAAATGAAACATGCATCAATGAATCATTAACAAGCATTTAGAAAATAGATAGGGTGAATTTTCTTTTCATGCCGACTTTAACATTGCTGTTTTGTAGCTTTAGATGCTCAGCAGGAGTCCACAAAGCCACTCCAGGCTTGTCGTCACAGCAGGGCCTCCATCAGCCCACAGTCTGAGTCCCACGCCAGGCCTCGATCTGTTCTTTCAGCAGGTAGGCCTGTCAGTGGATACAAGGACTTTCAAAACAGAGTCAGCCAAACACAAAGCACTTCCACCAGCAGCTTGGGTAAGAAAGTAACCGAATTAAAATTATTTGATATGCAAATGTTTTAAAGCTTTATAGAACATTATTTAGACATTAACCCTTAAATGCATGAATGTTTCGCCAATCATTACATATTCGGGTCTTTAGCGACCCGGACCAATATATCCAGCACGGATGGATCTCTAACTGCTGCAATAGCAAAAAAACTCTCTTGATATTATAAGAACAATTGCAGAAGAATAAAATAAAGCATATTTCGTTACCTTTTGAAAAGGGTTCGATTTGAGCAGATGATTTTACCATCGCTGTCATCGTCAGAGCGCACTTCCACGGTGCATTCAGCATCTGCCTCACATTCACGATTTCAACCATATTTTCAAGACTATCGTTTTCAATGACTTCATATTCAATATTTTGATCACTGGCAGCTTATTCACCACATCCAGCATCAAATGACAGTGACATTTATATTTCATTGCGTATAGTAATTGCTCTGCAGTAAAGCCATTCAGATCAGTTCAATTTTTGCTGATGATATTCGTTTGTTTTATGCCTGCCGTAATTATGAGTGAAACGTCATGTCATTATTGTGTATCAAAAAGTGCCACCTTGACGAAAAAAGATGCATTGCTCATATTGAGTCATCAAATCCATTCATATCAGTTTAATTTTTGCTGATTATATTCGTTTGTTTTATGCCTGCCGTAATTATGAGTGAAACGTCATGTCATTATTGTGTATCAAAAAGTGCCACCTTGACGAAAAAAGATGCATTGCTCATATTGAGTCATCAGATATGTAAATATAGTTGCGCAGGAAAAAATACTTACACATTTACATACCTCGGTCTCTAGCGACCCTATACACTTTTTACAAAAAATTTATCAGAAAACAGGCATTCTTTTATATTTAAATTTTTTTTTCTTGTTATGTTGTTTATAATTAATAGTTTGAGGAATTCAAATAAGAAAGTTGATGTCTAACTTAGATATTAAAATATGAAGGAGGGAGAGGGTAGAGAATGATGTCCCGGGTCGCTGAAGGAAAACAGGCATTCTTTTATATTAAAATTTTTTTTTCTTGTTATGTTGTTTATAATTAATAGAAAGTTGATGTCTAACTTAAAAAAATGAAGGAGGGAGAGGGTAGAGAATGATGTCCCGGGTCGCTGAAGACCCGAGGTATGCATTTAAGGGTTAAAGTAGAATGTTCATGCATGAAATGTGAGAATAGCTTCCTTATTTAAAGATAAGAAGACTTTTGACACCAAACGTTCAGTACTCAGCCAGAGTGAGAAGGCAGCCCGAGACAGGGTGAGAAAGCGAGGTCCTCACCACCCAGTGACCCAAGACCTAATTCTGCTAAGGACCAGCAGCGCCCAGCAGGGCCGGTACAGTGACCTGGCAAGGTCCAACATGGAGCTGAATGCCAGAGTACGAGATGCCTGGGGACCTGATTCCTCCAAAGAGCCATCATTTCAAACCACCACCAAAAAAACCTCCGAAATCCATACCCCATTCACTACCTATAGCGTTGACCTCAGCCCTCAGAGCTCCTCACAGTCCAGACAGACCTGCTTCACACCCCTCTCCCTTCCAAAACAATCCCAGAGATCATTCAAAGTAGTTAGGCCTAGAACAAACAAGACTGGTCCACTGAATACGTCTTCACCTGAAGATGGCAAGACACCACAACGATTGTTTATGAGGCGAACCTCCATGCCCACACATTGCAATGAAGATTTTGAAATGACCAACAAGTCCAGTTCATATCACGTCCCACTAAACCCCTTCAGGGAGCATGGAGACTTTCAGCTGAGGACGGACACTCAACTGGAGGCTTACATTCAGGAGTGTACCAGACAGCAGCAGATTCACAAACATGGCAGTGGTGATGACCAAGATAAAACTATTTGGAAGCGCAGTCATTGTCAGCAGTAAGGTACTCAAATCTAAAGGCATGACACTTTTGTCATAGCTAACCAGCCATAACTTTGAAATTTTGAACTCTATAGAGGTAACGTATATAACAATGTAATACAATATTTAAAATGTTATGTTGCATTTGGTAACTTTGGTTGCATTTGGTTGAAAATGTAGTTTAAGAGGGTAACTTGGTTTAGAACATACAGTGGCGACTGGTCCAAGCTGATCATTAACTTGACCATTTGGGACCAGCAACAAACCATCTACCAGGTGGTTAAGCTGGTTTTTGAAACATGGTGGTTGTTCTACTAATAACCAGGTAGAAACTATGTTCCAAAATACAGCTAAGTTGATAGATGTAGCATTATATCTATGCAATTTGAGCTTATTAGTGCCACGTCTTTCTTTTGTGGCTTTTTTGTATGCTTGCACATGTTTGCTAGGGGGCAGCAAAGTACAAGTTAAAATGTCCCATGTAGTTCAAATGTCCCATGTAAATATTAATCTCAGGGTGGTACATAATTAATGAATATTATTTTTTAAAGGATATTTTGCATTACATTGTAATCTTTATACATTTTCTTGTTTAAGATTGTGTGTTTAAGAGTGTTTGATTATTTCAGACAGTTCATCACCAGTTCTGCATGCATATACAAACACTGTGACTTTTACCTAATTAATGAGAGATGCTGACAAGAAGTGTAAACATATTTTGCTGATGTTGGAGAGACAAAATAAATTAGATTTGCCACACACTGTGAGTAAAGAGATCTTTGAAGAAACTTATTTTATGTCTCTTGTCTTAAGCTGATTCTTATTAGGGAGCTGTTCTAATTTAAAGATTGAAACAGAAAAATAGTTGTGAGATGGGGTTTATTATTATTGAAAGTAGATGATGTGTAAAGCTGTCTGCTTTTAAAAAAATGGATGTTCATCAAATGAACATCGTCTGTTGAGGTTTTCTAATTCTAAAGATAAGTATGTAGCATATTAATGTTGAGTTTTATGTGAGTTGCATCCAGTGATCTTCATTTTGCATTTTTACCTCTTAATTCTTGTTGTTCTGGTGAAATGACTTTGTATGCCGGACTTCTCCCATTCATTTAGTCTGGTTAAATTCTGCTCCTTTCTTACAATCGACTGCAGCCTCGCATTCAGTCAACTGTGTCCATCCAGTCAACAACCAATGGATGGAACTTGAATGTACCTCACAACATGAAAGAAAGAAAAATTTGTATTACTTCCATTTCATTCCAAATTTAACATAAAAGCCAAAAGCCAATTAGAATAAAATGGCTTCTGATTGGTCAATGAAAAACAACAGCCATGAAATTAAAGAAAATTTGTGCTGTTAGCAGTCATATCGTTGCTGCTTTCAGTGCTTCTTTTATTCTGTCATCTCTGTTTAGCCATCTTTCTCCCTTTGAAAATGAACTGAACATGGAGATCAACTCAAGGTCAGTTATCTGTAAGTTTCATAAAACTATTGTCTCAGAAAACATGTTTAGTCACCACCGCTACACAGACAATGTGTTCTTTGGTAAGCCTTCATGAATCAAGCATGGATTGGATACTTCTCTGCACAATACTTGCTGGTGAGTGTCTTTTTCTTTGATTCATTCAGAAATGAGTCATATGATGCTTCTCAAAGTTGGATCATTGATGCCACTGGTTTTGTGTCCAGCAGCTGTTGGTGACCCATCCTGATCAGTTCTTTCTACTTGCCACCTGCTGTCCACCGTTGCCTTCAAGGCATTACTGAAGGGTGTGGATGAGGTTCTGTTCTAGGGAGGGTCCATTTGAGCATTCAACAGCTGTGCAGCGGTGCAGCAGAGGAAGCAAACGGCAAGTGAAAGCAGTGGAGAGTGAGGCCACAGTAAGAGCAATCACCCCTCACCCCTGAAGTCCATTCTATCAGGAGCTATCTTGTGCTAATTTGATTTAATCTGCAGAAAATTGGGCTTCACCGTATCCCTCTTTTCTTTCCAACCAGTGACTGTGTCTGAAATCGGGGGGAAGGAGAACGCACTCCTTAAAGCCTTCTCTGTGGACACTGAAATCCTGAAAACCCAGCATTGTTCCCCCAGGTAGCGGCCTTGTTGTCTGGGGTCACCGGCTCCATGGTGAGATAACGAGCATGAAATCAAAGCAAAGGTGAACAACAGACAGGCTTCATGCAGGAGTGCGCACAAGCCTCCTGTTCCTGCCTGAGACCTGGGGTGGGACGTATTGAGGCTGTTCGTTGGGGTGAGGGGGCTGGATGCATGTAGGAAAGGAGTTTCCTAGAATAAAGTCTCTGCTTTGCATAAAGCAGCTCAGATGTGAGTTGAAAACCTGAACAATAAGGCGGAATCGGTGCATATGAATGGCCAGAAGGGCTTGTGATCTCCATTTGACTGGGAGCGAGAGGGATTTAGTCATGACAGTCTGTCAAATCACATTGCTGCAGATGTGCTGCATAGATGGAGGTGGCAGTTGCTTAATGGTCCTGGTGGCTCATATTTGAACTCCTAAACCACAGTTTATTTGCATGGCATGTTGACATTTGACAGAACTGTCCCCAGGCTGGGTAGACATGACAGAATGAGGGTATACTCATTTTGGAAATAAATGAATGGCTAGTTTATGCTTAGCTTTTAAATGAGGAAACCTAAACCAACCGATACCATTCCGTTTGGATTTTTTTTTTATACCACCAAGGCTGCATTTGTTTGATCAAAAATACAGTAAAAAAAGTAACAATATGGAATATTTTTACAATTTAAAATATCTGTTTTCTTTTTTAATATTTAAATTATTATTTATTTTTTTTCCTGTGATGGCAAATTTTAGTCAGCCATTACTCCAGTCTTCAGTGTCAAATAATCTAATATACTAATTTAATGTTAAAAAAAACATTACTTATCAATGTTGAAAACAGTTGTACTGCTTGATATTTTTATGAAAACACCCTTTTCAGGATTCTTTGATAAATAGAAAGTTTAAAAGAAAAGCATTTATTTGAAATACAAATCTTGACTTTGATGTCACTTTTGATCAATTTAATGCATCCTTCCTGAATAAAAGTATTAATTCTTAAGAAAAGAAAAACAAATGTATACTCTGTCATTTAAATTCATATCAAGTGTACATTTTGTACATTTTGTTTGTTTGTTGCAATCAATCACCATGGTGTACTAGTTATGCTACAGGAGCTGTCAGCTGATGAAAGTATTATCATTTGGCAAATATTAGATAAATATGCAAAGGTCAAGTGCAGTTCATGATAGGGTAAAGCATTTGGAAAGTTCTGTGACTACAGATTCTGTGTGGGCCTGCTTACATGTACTGCCAGCAACATAAAATGCTTTTTTGTAAGTCTTTTGGTAAGAAAATTTCTGCCAAGAAGATTGACATGTAGTTAGGCTTTATTTAAAAAGATTGAAATGATTCATAGTGCAGTCCAGTGTTAGTTCTCCATCCAGAAGTGCTTGTGTCATAACGTCAAGCTGCAGTGTCACAACAAAGGAATCGCCATTATATCGAGAAGCTAAGCTAGAGTGTGTGTAATTCTCGACCGGGATGTGATGTGAAAGGAAACACAGTAGAAACAGATGGTTTGGTTTTCTTTGTCAAAACTGTGTTTCTCTTTATTTCCTAATAATGTTTTCGATGGAGAGAAATCTGAAGCTAAATATCCAGTGGCTGAAGTAAATACTTCAGTCGTTGACTAAATCAAGCTCGATCTAAACCTGATGACATCACTTAAATACAAAAACAGTGGAACGTGGAAGTCACAGCTTTTCTTTTATTAAGACTCCAAAACCTAGTGAACTGCCTTGCTGTCTACTGGCTGCGTATGCGGTCTTGTAAGAAATGAAACTTCACAAGAGGGTGATTTGGGACGGTTACACGAGCACAAAGTGCACAAGAGGTTTGACTCAACATTTGATTTATATTTATATTGCAAAAAGTGCTGCAGGAATGAGTTCTAAATCCTGGAAATAAGTTAGAATTTTTTGCACTTCCAATTTGTCCCAGTGGGTTTTTGAATAAATGCCTGAAATAAGGTCTGTGGTTAACATAAGCTCAAGATATGTTCGTGTTTTATTCTACAAATAACCCACTCTTTATGTGTCTTCAAGAAGGCATTTGCTAACAATTGATAAAAATAGAACAACAAACAGGTAAACTCCACTACTCACTAGTGTACATTCATAGCCTTTTTGTGTTTATACAGTAGTGCTTTTGCAAACTATTCTAGCTCCTCAAACTTACACAGATTTTAAATAAACACTGACGAGTTGTCAGAAGGTTAGTGGTAGTCATGCAATTGTGATGCAGTGTGTTATCCTAATTTTTGCTTTTTACTTTTTTTCGTTTGATTGTTTTTAGGCTTCAAAATAAAAAAAATAAAAAGCTGTGTTAATTTCTGAAGATTATCTTGATGGAAAAAAGAAACGTATGAATAATAAACTTGAGTAGTGTTTTTATAGTTAAAACTAAAGCTATTAAAATCTGTTCATTAATTGAAATATAGCTAAAACAAAATATAAATATTAGATGAAAAGCTTAAACTTGTACATTAGAAATTGATTTGAGCTTACTGAAGTACTACAATTATCTAAACTGAAATAAAAAATAATCAGCGCTAAAAACACGTTACAAAAAAAAAATCTAAATACTATTTATAAATAATACTTAAATAGCTAACACTGTCACAGAGCTCACATATCTCAGAAAGCAGCATAATTATATGCCTATACCCTATAAAATGCTGAGTACGCAGGCAGCTCACTAGGTTTTTAAATAGAGCCTTAATGTATCTGAGGACAATAATATCTGAAGATCTATGGGTTGTCTGAAGCAACCTAACTGGGAACTTTTGCTTACAGTAGGTCACGTTTCTAGAAAAAGATTCAGATAGAAGATGGAAGCTGGATTAATTAGCTTTGCTGATAAGGATTGAAAACACAAGCTGAGCTTGGGTGGGCAATTGCCTCTAATTCCGAGCTGTGCTATTGGACTAATTCCCTCCCAGCTCATTCATATAGTTAACCTGATTGCTCATTGATTGTTTTTTATCAATAGCAGACATTGTGTGATTTTGGTAACTTTAACTTGTTCAAAGAGCCCTGGATTAGGTCAGCCTGGTGGAAAGAAAAGTGTGGATCAAAGAGTGGAGCGCTGGTGGACGGGGTGCTGATTTTTTCAAGTTGACAGATTGTTATTTTCAAGTGTCAGTCTTTGTTTTCGGTGATGCCTCCCTGCAGGGCTCAGGTTACCAGTTTATGGCAGACCTGAGAGTTTGGTGTTTATATGGAAGCAAGGAATCACCTGTAGGTGGTGCAGTCGATCTACACATTGCTAATGAAAAAGTTTTATTGCTGCTGCTGCTGCTGGTTAGAAATGATTTACCAGCCTCATGCAACAGCATGTCATTATTTCCACATAAATACGGCATTTTACTTTGTCAGCTCCCTGTCAGTTTAGTAACTCTACCATGCCACTTGACATTTATTCTAC